GTAGTGTCGTAGACAAAACACACATGACACGCACAGTCCCAGACTTCTCTATCCGCACATTCAATCTGAATGCAAAGCATGGCGCAAATAACGCTTAAAAGAATTAAACAAGTTCGTCGTCGTCGCCGACGTCTGTCTGCGTACGCACACCTGCAGATGTTGGATAATTTCCTGCTCGCTGCGCTTACGTATTAACAACTAAGGTATGCCGTTTATCGCGAAAAGAAATGCTTCCTCGAATACTTTTCAACTTTTTTCGACAAATATAGCAATATGAAAGCAGCATGCCGACGAGGAATTAAAGAACTATCTTCACAAAATGAATGATAAAAAAGTACATTCAGGAAGAAAAGAGAAAACGGAAAGAATCGATCCGAGTTGAATGCCAAAGGCGTAAATAGAAAACATTTTGGAAATCGACGCAATGTCCAAATGAAAATTTTACTGCGATGTCATAAAAAAGAGTGAAATTTTATTAGCTAATTTTAGCACTAATAAAAGTCAATCTAAACTCTTCATCAAAAGAAGATGTTTAAGTAAAGTGTCCTTGTAATAGATATTCATACAGGTATACTGATAAAGCACAGCTCTGTCCGTTCTGATTTTCTACGGTGTATATTTAAAAAGAAATTTGTGCGAATCTTGCGAGTACTTAATTCGAATTTAATAAGTGCTCGGTGAGTGTAATAAAAACGTCGAGTACACGACTTTAAATGAACTCTCGCTATTATTCAAAATAGACAAGCAAAGCAGATTTTACCAAAAATTACGCACAAGGATACTCTTAATGATTGATGTGTAAAATAAAAATCTTACTTTTAATACACTGTAATTAATTACACTAGAAATACTTGCCCCAGATTCAAATATAGAAATCTTAAACTAGAATGTTTAACGTTGAATAGGTTGCCTACATTTACGTTAAATGTTAATTTAAGTCATTCCTGGTGACATTTTTTTGTGATTATACTGGATTATGCTCTATAATATACAGTTATCGTAATTTTCCTTCCAGTGCACATCTTTTATAATAAATTTACATTTACAGTTCGTACTAATGTGATCATGTGATCACTCACCTCAGCGATGCGCTTAAAATCACACCACATGTCGTGACATGTAGGATAAGCACAATTAAACGACAGGACAGTTTTAATTAAACGCAGGCGCAAAGCAAAAAAAAAATCTATGTAAAATAATCCGTTAAGGATTATTTGAGGCTCGTTAAAATACGTTTGTTTATTTTATTGTCTACATATGCTTTGGCATGACTAAAAGCAATAAGGAAAATTAATTACCAATTAGTTTTTACCCCGTAGAAAATACGAGTATGAGTGGAAGTTCAATGAGCGCTATTTATCTATATAAAAGAAACTCGTGTTATTTACAACGTTTATAACTCAAGAACTACTGGACCGATTTTGATAATTTATGAATTTTTGGATTTGCCTTTGCCTAGAATAGCAGAATAACTATTAAAATATCAAAAATTATAAGTTAAAAAAAGTTAAATTTGGGATTAAAATTAAATTATTGATATAGCTAAATAATTCAATCCGATATGACGCTAATGTGCATTATTAGCTTTTTTATTTCTTTAAATAAAATTAGCCATCCTCTTGATAGAAATGACACATTATTGGTCCAAGAAAGTAAAAAAAATATATTTTTTTAGTGAAAAGTGTGGGGAAAACAGCGGGCAACAGCTAGTTCAATATAAAAGTGTGAAAAGTGCAAATTGCCTGCGAACGTAATATCTTTCTTCTACTTCCAAATTGAAGTAGCATTTCATTGCGTGCATAATATATTTGAGAATGCGGGAAAACGATGAGAACTTTGCTTTCCACTCGGCGTTTGCGGCTTAATAGTTCGAGTATTTCTCTCGGTAGGTAAAATACGTGTAAGCAAGTTAGAACTTACGTTGTGGCCCGCTAAAAACCAACCGCACTGAAGGCGCGATGAGAATATTGAGAATACGCGCGAATCGAGCTTTGCAATTTCACATTTCGTACGTGCTACGAGCGCGTAAATTGCTTCGCTAGCACAACAAATAAATTAGAATAATAGCAGCCAAGTTGAGAATCGGATGCTTTTCGGCTTTGTTGCACAGTTATCTGTTGTTGCGTAAGGATTACATGGGCGCTTACATGTGAATGTTATTTTCTAGACTTAAATTTACAATAAATATAATATTACATGTTTTTTAGTTTAATTTAAAGTGTTTCTTTTTTTGCTTGTATTGACGTTGATAATTTGACGTAAATAATATTTATGGATGTAATAATGTATAAATTGGTGTATTTTTGGTTTGGTTAGTGATAAATTTGTTTTTTTCTACATATTTCACTTATTCAATCACTATTCAATTAATAAATAGGTACACATAGAACACAAATTCTAATCTTCCTTATAAAAAATTATAGTAGGCAACCAATATAACATCTAAAATAAAGCAAAAAAACAGGATCGTCAGGTTTTCATTCTAGTTATTAATAAAAATATCATCCACGTATAAAAACCTAACAATTATTATGAAGGTAATGTTTTTCTCTTAGTATTTGGCAACTAGCACAAAACATTTTAATGACGCACTAAATTTTGACCTTTGGTTAATAACCAAATTAGTAAAGTCATTAAGTAATGTTCAAAACACTTTTAAATACATACACGATATGTAACTAATTGAAAAACCTTTTTGTATCTATAAAAAATTGTAAATTTCCAACATACCACACCAAACAAAAGCCATGAATGTATCCGACAACAAATGCATTATGATTAGACTGACTCAGAATTATAAATAGCTTCTTCGCCATTTCTTTTTATATTCCAAATTATGATTAATCATTGATTACTGCATTACTGTTTATGCATCAGGAAACATTTCAACTATGGAATGTGAATGCATATATTATCGTCAACATATCAATATGATTATTATTAAATTACTACAATGTGTAATAAAGTCTTTGCCGCTTCATTACTAATAATAACAATTGTACATGGCTGGTAACCTACGTTTTGATCAAAGACAGAAACTAATAACAATCGCCTAAGGACATTGAAGGTAATCGTCAGCCTCATGGAAGCACACTGCACATCTCAACACTACAATAATACTTTGCGATCGTTGCCTCCAGTGTAATACCTAGTAAAGCATATGATAATTATAAAATTAGAGGAGGCAATCAACCTTAACACAATAACTTCTTCGATGGTACGTATTAGGCGATCTGTGTGTTATAAGTAGCAGACTGACGCAAATCATCGCTGTATTCTTGGAAATTGGAAATAATGGTAATTGTTGTAGGCTGCTTCGAGACACAACGGCGATTTAGCACGGAATGCGAGAAAATGTATTCACGGTTATTATAAAATTGAGCACAAATGTAATCATCAAATCATGATTACTTAAAATGACATATTGATCTTAAATATGGCGACGTGGGTAAACTAGGCAACACGTAGTACCTTTTAGTGACATAACCAAGATTTTATGATAAAAATATAATTTGTTTCTGAAAATGCACAAAACTGTTCAAGTTGAAGTTTTACTTGAAATTTTTATTAAATTATAATCCTGCATTTAATTCTCAGTTAAATGTTTATTACTGGTTTCATCTTGAATTTCGTATTACATGATTCCACACCGAACGTAGGCATTAATTGCGCAACAAAATCAAAGAATTTTTGTTAAGCAATCATACTAAATACCAGCTTGAATAGTTGAGTTTTTTTTCATGTCGTGCTTCAAGAGTGCACTCACCGCAAGCAGCATCTTCGATTAATTACAGTTTTAATACTCATAAATACTCATAAATTCATAAGTAGATAATAAAATTTCCAAACACCGCGTGACATTTGCCAGATTTAACTGGATAACCGGCATAAATATCCTGCTTAGAATGTTTGCATTGCAAGAATAAGGAAAATAATTTCTGTTTACCGTTCGCGCTTTTGCGCATGCAATTAAAACACCAGCGTCTTGAATCTCCCCCCGAGATTGTTGCAATTCGAAGCCGCAGCAATGCGATCCTCCTTCGCGCTCTTGCTGGAGCGTAGAAGGTCGACGAGGTGCAGGCAAGTACGTTGGTTGCGTTTCTTATGCATTCGAAACTTCATTCTTGCGTTCCATCTATTCCACCAATCGCATTCCTGCGGCATAACGCCGCACAATGTGCAATAGACTAGTGTGCACTGGGCGCATTCGCCGAAGAAAATTCAGTTATACATAATATATGCATATATTGTTTATTCAATGAGATATTACTTCATTTTATTACGAGTATTACGACTTACGCCAACTATCAACCACATTGAATGCTATTTTTTACCGTACAGACAAAACAAACAAATTGTTTAATTAATACATCAAATTAATTTGCATCTTTGCATAGATATTTTAATAAAACTGTTAAATTAAATGATGACAATAAAATTTTTATTTTTTGTATTTTTTAAATATAATTTCAACATTTTCTGCTCTAAAAGTGATAAATTATATCTTTTTATCAAATTAGTTCACATTTTATCCAGTGACTTACATTAATTGCTGAGAAAAGATAAAGAACAAGAACAATGCAATGACTCGTGATCTTTTTGTCTGTTGATTGTTTTCGAAATAAAGAGTTTCTAACTGGTAACTGGAATGAAAACGAAAACGAATGTGAATCCGTGAATCCAAGTAATACAAATGTTGTAATGTTGTGTGGATTGTACACACAATTTATTTAATTGTTTAATGCTACAAACTACATCTACCTTTTCCGAATTGTATTAATGTTTTACTAGAAATAAATATATTTCGAAGAAGAAGAAGAAGATCCAGAGGAAAAGTGAAACCGATACCGCTATTCTCAACCGATAATTATTTAACATCACATATCGCACGTTGCAACGCGCACGAAACAGCAAAGTAATAGTTATTACATAATGAAACATTTCAATCGTTTTATCAACAACTACATTTATAGAAATATCTGTAATATATCAAATCTTACCTTAATTTAATAAATTGCGTTGATATTTGGAGATAATTCACGGCTAAACACTAGTCCAATTTAATTATGCGTATTCCACTGCGTTTAATATCAATATGTCAATGTTAAGATGTAGAAATATAATCCATGCACTTTGTTTTTGGTGGATTTTAAGTTTATTAAATACCGCAAGTTTGTTGTATTCCGTGCCGCGCCGCGTCCGGACACAACACTTTCTAAAGACACACTGATGGCATTCGTTTGTTTCTTGCCGGAGCAACTCGTGAGCTCGCGGCCGTTGGCGAATACGTCGCTCCGTCGTAGACCGGATCTAGTGAAGGTGTACTTTACTTACCAAGGTGCACGGTGGTAAGTGCGGTGAGCGTGCGTTGTGCGCACGACGGTCGGGGAGAGAAAACGGAGAAACGGAGAAGGTGTACATAGCATGTCCGAGTATAATAGCCGATACGTCTCTATGCGAACGCAACGATTATTGCGGTTTGCCTTCTTGTGATGCATGAAAACATCGATTGCTTTTGTAATAATTACGCCTGATTTGCTAATAAATTAAACAAATTAGCGTGGTTGATTGTTTTGTAATTAAGTTCTTGCAGTAATACGCCCGTTAATGTTATTTACCACAAATTAAATTACTATTAGTTTACTACGCAAAAAAGTTAAGTTTCTTTTGTTATAATGAAATTATGAAACGTTTTAATTTCTGTTACGGAGTTTATATCTACAAATTACTTGTTTTGCAAAAAGGGCGTTTGCATTATTAGAGTTGATGGGCAATTAAATTATTGCAATTGCAAATATATTTCTATTTATTTTTCGTTGATGATGCTCCATAAACTTTGGAAGCTTTCGAACTCAAGTAAGAATATAGGCAACTAAACCAGCATTAGCATAAATTTCATATTACTCTTTGCTTTTTTAAAAGCAATGAAATATCAATAGTTTTATAACGAGATTGAATACCATTCAAAAATCACTCTATAGTTTGTAAACGTCATATGATTCAATCAGCATATGATTAAACCTGTAATGATCGAAATAGCTATCAAAATGTTTATAGTCTAAGAGCCCGTGACGGCCAGATTTTCGTCATTTTAGGAAAAGTAAATATTTTCTATGTGTATCCCCAACACAGGTTAGAACTATCCCCAATTATGAAACCTGATTTCCATTCGATCCAGAATTGTTCAATCTTCCTTAATCTATAATTTTCTAGTTGCTGTCTCTTTTAGTTAAGAAGATATTCACTGTCAAAAAGCGTGGAAATAAGTTCACATCAAGCACCCCACCCCCCTTGCACATTTTTTCTTATGAATTAAAATTTCATCTCTCAAAGCACATAAGATGAGGTAGTTTATGATAAAGTAGTAGATTCATTCACATATTCATTACATTTATTATTTTAATTAAATTTTGCCTAACGTCACAAGCGCGAAATGAGATAAAGTGGACGTGTGTTGATAAAATCCGCTGCGATGGCCCATGTTTACAAAACATTGAAACAACGATATGATCGCGGGAATATTTTTAGTTATAACGGACATTCTAACGACATCTCGGAAAGATTTTAAGAGTTCAATTTGAAATCGGCTGCTAGTGTTATTGAATCAGGCTATTGATAAGTGATCGTGCATAGAATTGAATGGCGAAGTAACTGTGTAATCGTGTAATCGCTCGCAAGGACTCGGATTCAATTACGAGTAGCAGCATTATTAAATGGAACACCAGAAATTAAACATACATACTATATAGTAATGGAGTATATATGACATAATATCTGTTGATAAATTATAAAAAAAAATTATTTAAAAAATATGTTTTACTTTTTTATGATTTAACTAGCTGACCCGGCAAACTTTGTTCCGCCTCGCTTCGTTCTTGTGATTGAGAAGCACGAAGTCGAGTCATACTAACACGGCGCTTTTCACGTGCAATTTTTTGTTCTTCTTCAATCCTTTCATTCGCAATCCTTCGAATCCTAGTTGCATTACGGTTTTGTCGGATAAAATTTGATCGTTTTGGTCGCTGCATGTTGAGTGGGGAAGCTACGAAGCATAGCACAAAGAAGAGACGGAGAAAACTCGTTTAGTATCTTCCAAAGAAGTTTTCACTTCAAAAAGTATTAAAAAAAGTATCCTACACTTACTAAATCTTATCCAAAAAAACACATCAACCGGGCAACTTTAACCAACTCGTACAAACACACACACACGTCTACGCTTAGGGGGAAGCTATGAAGCATCGCATAAAGGGGAGACGGAGATAATAGAAAACATTGTATTTGTGTGCCCTTCTTCTCCCGCAGGCTAAACCATATAAGCGATAATGTTTGCTTCTTTTTAGTGTCGTTTAGTGTCCTCTAAAGATGTTTTCACTTCAAAAAGTATCCTAGTAACCATCTCCCAACAAAAACAACAACCGGTCGACTTCAACCCACACGTACAAACATACGCACGACTATGCTTAGGGGGAAGCTACAAAGCATCGCACAAAGAGGAGACGGGGATAATAGAAAATTTTGTATTTGCGTTCTTTTATTCTCCTGCAAGATAATCCATATATGCGAATATGTTTGTCTCTTTTTAATGTCGTTTAGTGCCTTTTTAGACAAGTTTTCACTTCAAAAAGTATCCCATTACCTTTTTCTGGCCCTAAGCTACCTCGCCACCAATTTTTAGCTAAATTGGATTAGCCGTTCTTTAGTTCTAAGCAAGGTAACTAACACGACTTTCGTTTATATATATAGATTTCAAGTGTAATAGTATATTAAGTAACAAGTGGCTAAACGAGGACATTACAGACGAGATTTGATTGAGAGCGAGCGTTGCGAGCGGTCAATCAATCGAGTCTTTAACAACGTTTAGCCACGAAGTCCTTACGCTATTTTTTCTACTTCCACTCTAGTTCCACGTTGCGCAATCCACATCAGGTTTGACAAATACTTGCATTGACTTGCAATAAGTTTAATAATTAATATATAATTTTCATAATGATATTGTGATCTCGTAAAACAATTGTTTTTTCAATAACCATCATAACTTTCTGGCAGTTTCTCAGCCTCCAATTGTCCATCAAGAAACTCTCTCCAAGATGTGTATTGATAAAATCCTCAAAACCCTTTGAAAGTGCTCTAAAATATCTTTCTAAAGTTAGCATTTCATAAAAAAAATTTAAAGGATGCTGGCATTCAGCCATCTTGTATCACACCGAGATGAGAGGATTGTCTTTGATTTATAATGAATTTCAGAATTTGAAATTTGAAAGGTACCTGGTTCAATCCCTAGTTTCGGCACGTAGTTTTTGACAGAGATATATCGTAATACTGGAAAATTTTGTTTTTATTGTGGTCTACAAAATAACACCCAGTATCTCCCGAACCATATGATTTTTTTTATAGTTTCTCACCGCCTTGTCAGAGCATACGTTTGCAATCCCCTAGCACAGTGGTTCCTAACCTTTTCAAGGTCACTACCCTGTGACTGACGGCCCAGGAGGAGCGGGGAATTGCGGCCTGGGGCAAGACCGCAGTTGCCGGAATTGAGGGGGCCCCTTTGTACGAAGGGGTCCCTCTGGAAGATCCGGTAGCAAAGGCGAAGGAGGAGCCAAAAACCCCAACCGTTTTGGCTTCCATGCTTTTGGAGCCAACAATAGCGACCCCACAGCGCCACATCGACACCCCACAAAAAAGTACCCGGAGGACGTCAGCGATGGCCATGTCCACCCAGGAGGTGATAGCCACCTGCACTAAATCTACTGACGCCATCAAGGCGCAGACAGAGGCCATCAAGGCGCAGACAGAGGCAATTCGAGAGCTGGTGCAAGTTGTTAGAAATAAATAAATGAATGAGATTCAAAACAATTTTAATTTATATTTATATTTAATATCTAATTTATTCAAAGTTTTCTATAAGATACCTATTCCTAATTTCTTTACCTTTATCCAACAAATGTCGGTCTTCTTGTATTGTATGTTCAGCTGGGTCACTTGGGTCAGGTGCGTCAGGCGCGTCAGGCGTGACGTCCACGTCATCCATATTCCGCCGCGCTGCAAAATTATGCAATATGCAGCACGTGGATATAATTCTGGATGACCTCCGGGGATTATAATGTAAGGTACGATGCCTCAGTAGGCACCGAAACCGTCCCTTCAGAACCCCGTTCACCCGTTCCACAACATTCCTAGCCGACGTTAGTAACGTGTTGAATCTAACTTCATTGGGGTTCTGTGGGTTGTGGAACGGTGTGAACAGCCCCGGTTCCACAGGATAGCCACTATCCCCAATTAAATAAGTCCGCTGCACACCTCCCTCAAACTGGCGTTTCAGTAATTTTCGAATTGAGGTCATATGCCAGATCGCAGCATCATGAACTGATCCTGGCATCCTTGCCGAACAGGCTGTTATAACTCCGTTGGAATCCACAATCTGAAAGTACATCTCACAATGTAAATTACCAAGATATATATGATGTATGTTCCACTTACCAGCATAACATTGATAGAATGTCTGCCCTTGCTATTAATGTACACATGTGGCGGATCGTCGAAATTTGTTGACGCTGGAGCGACAATTTCCACATGTGTACCATCAATGGCTCCAATCACACCACGAATTTCATATTTATCGAAAAACCTACAATATAATTAATAACAAACATATATATAATAAATTTAAATCAATTGTATACCCTTCTTTAACTGCCAGTTGAGCTTCTGCACAAATGGGAAACTCCACATACTTCCGAAATAAATGGCAGACAGCTGCATCCGTTACTTCCGCGATGCATCGGCTAATTGAACTTTGGCTCAATGATGACCAGACACATGAGCCAATGTTGTTCTGGTATGCCCCAGTTGCCAGAAATCTTAAAGTAGCTAAAAACTGAAGTCAAATATTTAAGTAAGCTGTACAGTTTGTGTATAATGTGAAAGTTTACCTTGCATAATTTGGGGATACCATCCATTTTTAAATATGGCCCAATTTCGGCCATAAAAGCAACAACAGCATCCACATCAAATCTAAACAATTGTCGAAATTGTCTCGGCGGAATTTCCAACGGATTGCTCGAATCGCGCAGCCGACGACGTTGGAGTCTCATATAATTTCTTAAATTACAATGCGTGTAACAAATCGTTTTGATTATTTTATATTTTCTTACCTCCTATAGTCCGCTTCAAGCAAAAATGTCACAATTAATAGGTTTTCCATTTTGAAAGTACTGGTAGAACCAAAGAACAAGTGGAAGTGATGGAAATACCGCCAAAATAACGCGTCATCTTTTTTCACATCTGCTGAGCACACGGCTCGTCAAAATATTCCACTTTTCCAATTTCGATGAATAGGCAGACTGAGACAGCCGACAACGAGTGCGGGTGCGAGTGAGAACGAAGAGCTGCGGTAAGGCAGTTTCACCCGCGCCAAGAGAGCAGCGCATGCGTATAACATGTTACGAAAGCTATCGGCACCCTCAAGCTGCTCGAAAAATTGAGGCGACCCGAACCCTCCAAAAGACCTCCGTTGGCCACTCAGAATCGCAATTTGCGTTCGTTCGACACTATAGCACTTCGCGTGCTGCTCAGAATAGCACCACAAGTATGGGAATTGAGTTTACCCCTAGCTAATTTAAAATAGTTAAAAGCACATAAATTCTAACGAAAATATGCTTATTATGTAAGAAATTGCACGTTTACGTAACTAGTAAAGTAATATATAAATTTATATAATATATAAATAGCGCCGTGCTACCATTTACCGTACTATTATTTTGTTTATTGCTATTTTAATACTATTTCGAGCCATCCCGTGTTACCCCCCTAGAATCACCGTTTTACCCCTGCGGGGGTAATTACCCCCAGGTTAGGAACCACTGCCCTAGCACTTCTGAACATGCTCAAAAGTGTTTTTCAGAAAGTAGCATTTTTCATAAAGTATGTAAATATGGTGTAGAAAACACTCTATATCTCGTGAACAAATTTACATATTTAGAGTTTGTCACCGCCATATCAAAGCTCGAAAGTTTCCCTACCCGATGCATACCTTATCAATCTTCTAGCCCTTTTAAAAGTTCCCCAAAACTCTCTTTAAAAATTGACATTTTTCAAAAAAATTAAAAACGTAGCGCGCAAAACACATTGTATACCGCTAACTAATTGACTTTTTTAAAGTTTGTCACCGCTATTATTAAGTTCGAAAGTTTCCCTATACTATGCATACCTTTTTAATCTTCTAGCACTTCCAAAAGTGCCCTAAAATGCCGTTTAAAATTTGCCATTTTAAAAAAAATTGCAAACAGGGTGTGCAAAACACTCTATATCTTGTGAATTAATTGACTTTTTTTAGAATTTGTTACCGCCATCCTAAAGTTCAAGAGTTCCTCTATACGATGCAAACCTTTTCAATCATTCAGCTCTTCCGGAAGTGCCCTAAAATGCCTTATGAAAATTGGCATTTAAAAAAAAATAGAAAACATGGTGTGAAAAACACTCTGTATCTTGAGAACTATTTGACTTTTTTGAAGGTTTTTACCGCCATCTTAAAGTTCGAGAGTCTCTCTACGCGATCCATGTCTTTACCACCCCCTAGTCCTTCAAGAACAGCCCTAGAAAGCACTTAGAAAATAGCCATTTCTGTCACTAAAATTTTATTTTTTGGTCGAATGACAGGGTCGAACTTTTTTGTTAAAATTTTGTCAAAGTTAAATAATTATTGAGATACAGGGTGTTTTTCACACCATGTTTTCATTTTTTTGGAAACTTGTCAATTTTCAAAACGCATTTTAGGGCACTTCCGCATGGGGTGGAAGAGTGAAAAGGTATGCATCGTATAAAGGAACTCTTTAACTTTAGCGGTTACAAACTTTAAAAAAGTAAATTAGTTCGCGAGATACAAGGTGTTTTCCACACCATGTTTTCTATTTCTTTGAAAAATGCCAATTTTTAAATGACATTTTAGGGCACTTTGGGAAGGGTTAGAAGATTGAAAAGGAATGCGTTGTGTAGGGAGACTTTCAAACTTTAAAACTGCAGTGACAAACTTTAAAAAATTCAATTAGTTCGCAAGATACAGGGTATTTTGCGCGCCCTGTTTTTGGTTTTTTTGAGAAATATCAATTTTTAAAGGGAGTTTTGGGGCACTTCTAATAGGGTTAGAATATTGACAAGATATGCATCGTGTAGAAGAACTCTTGAGCTTTAACATGACGATAAGAAACTAGAAAAAAATCATATAGTTCGAGAGATACTGAATGTTCTTTTGCAGACCACTATAAAAACGAAATTTTCCAGTATTACAATAAATTTCTGACAAAAGCAACGTCCCGAAACCAAGGGTTGAACCAGAGGCCTTTAAACCTTCAGTCTAACGCTCCCCCAACTGAGCTATTGCGACTTATTGGCAAAGGATTGTTGCAATTATACTACAAAAATCACTGTTTTCATACAAATATGAAATTTCAAATTCTGAAATACCTTTTAAATCAAAGACACTCGAAACATTTTGGTGTGATACAGGATTGCGGAATGGTACAGCATGCTTTTAAATTTTTTTGAGAAATGCTAATTTTATAAAGTTATTTTAGGACATCTGCTGTTTACCTGCAATCAGTAGATTGTCAGAAAATTGTATCAAAATCGACCCAACCACTTTAGACTCCTTAAAATTCATTCACCATACACCCGTTTAGAAAAAATATAACAGTTTCTTTATTTTTGGCCACAACACGGACAGTTTCCATACATCAGAGTCAACAGGTAATTATTCAATTGGAAATGTAAAACGTTTCAACGACTTACAAACTAGACTTAGAATGCATGTCACTGATTCTTTATCCATTGATATTCTTTTCACACAGAGTAAACGCACATAAATGCATCCAAAAAATGCTAATATTGCTTTTGGCCATCGAATCCATAATTGTACCGACAACGTACGCGACTAGTATTTAAATTGGTAACTAGTTAAAATGACAATATGAAGTTTACATTATTCGAGCTTCATATCCCATTAAAAATTCTTGGACGATAACGAATCGTTATAACTTGTATACGGTAAATATCACTTAAGAATATCATAAGTATTTCAACTAAACTCTTAAAATTACACATCTAAATTCGTTTCGCTTGTATATAAATAGTAAATATCGTAAATATGTTTATGTAAAATTTACTAGCTACGCCTTAAATGTATGTATCACTAATAAGAACTCTTTGTTTACCGTTCGCTAGCTAAGCGTCTAATACATTAACAATCGATGTATCTGTTATTGGTGTTCTTGGGGATGTGATGTTGATCGACGTCCAGCAGGTCGTCGTCGCCTGATAAAAGCACATCGTTTTCAGAGTCATGTCGGCGGCGACGGCTTGCGTTTATTATTTTGAATTGTACTTTACCTAGCAGACTGTCTTCCAGACTGTCACGGCGGCCGTAGTGTGGTAATGTAATTGGCGCATTCCGATGCATTAAGAAATTGTCTGTTACCCAAAACATTAAAATCTAAAAGAAAACAATACTTGTCATCTATTTAATATTTTTTATGCACATTTAGACTTACATTAACAAAAAACGGAATGATTAGCATAACAAATGCCAATTCAAGTTTTGGGTTTGGCGCTAGCGGTGCCAAAATGAAATCTTTCACTCTATCCCAGAAGTTCAACTGCATGAAGAGAGTAATCAGTATTTTGACAATACCCATCAGTATCACATAGAGAATGCATTGTGTTATCCATGCATTTAATTGGGGAGGTTTGCCTAAAAACAATTACAATTGTTAAGTATATTATAACACGTAAAAAAATACTTTTACCTACACATTCGAACTTAAAACAATAACCAATAACACCAATTTTACGTTGACTACACATTTGTGTACAAAGCAGTATATAGCAATGTATAAATAACTGAGTAATAAAATAATGCCGTAACAATAATAAATTTTCACGCAGTAAAAATATGAAGAGTTCATTGTGTTAACAGGAAATAAAAAAATCTGCTAACATATTTGCAACAAAGCAGGAAATACAAATGATACATTAAAATGTGACATATGATTACAACCGTTAACTACTTGTTATCAATTGGCAGAAACTAGAACGCGCTATTATGTAAATAATAAATAAATTGCAATAAACAAAGCATAATGATAATATTCATTTTAAAACAACATTTACCGTATTCTCCGAAGTTGATAAGCGGCCAAGCTTTCCTCCGTGCGAGATACTGCGCTGATTTGATCCCACATATGATTATAAATAATCCCAGTGATGAGTCTAGCAAAAAGTTGATAATATACCTACGGCAAAAAATGTGCGTTAATATTTGCAGTAAAATCCTTGAAATATAGTCCATATGATTAAACAATACTTGAAAAGACAATTGATTTCTTTATCAGCTATTACGAATTACACAATCATACGTCGGAAATAATGCCGCGTTATCATTACAATTCACATTATTTCATACCAATGTCGTGATGCACTTGGAATAAATAATTTAAATATTTGGCTAGAACTCTGCAACAGTTTGCAAAAGTTTGTGTAAATATTTTCCACTCCAATATGAAAAATGATTACAATTGAACTGTAATCAACATTAAATTACAACTCATGCTGTAATTTATAATGATGTGCATCCTTCTCAGCAGGAAATGACCACATTTTGCCACCATAGTGATAATCTACTAAAAACTTTATTGAATATTCTTAATTAACACCATATTAGTCATAACTTTTTCTTTAAATTTGATACAAATTATTCAAGTTCAGCTGATAAGCTCAAAGTCATAGCGCGTGGCCGTGACGTGTAGAAAGTAATCAATGCTTAAATAAATAATCAATGCTATTAAGCATATTGAATGCGTACTTAAATATGCACATATGTAACCATTCTTAAGCCAATACAAACAATTTTCTAACTTTAATTTTCCATTGAACTCAGCAAATGTTTATAAATTTAAAATATAAACAAATTATACATACCAAGTACAGGCATCACCAGTATATTGCCCAGCAAGCCAAACATTAGCCATATGTATTGCTAATGCACCAATGCCTTGTTTTGATGTGTCATAGAACCAAATGTGCCATGATCTTCGCTCTCTTATAGGCTCACAGAATCTTTTAGCTGGAAGATAATTTAAACCATAATAAAATCACATATGATTTATTTGATTTTATAATTAAGCATCTTACCTATTAAACATGTAAATGCAAGACATGCTAGTAGAACCTGCAGGAACCATCCAAAGAAATCAGTGAGATTCTCTTTGCTGCAACCTTCATGAGCCCCATGGTCTGGTTTCATTAGTAAATTTTGTACACTTGAGGAATTCATCACTTCGGCGTATATTACGCATTTATGCTTTTAAATACTAAGTGTTGGACGGTCATTAGAGTATTTTAATTTGGTCAAAACCGAGCAAAAACCAAACGAAAATTTAACACTACACTGATCTAAGGAATAATAACGAAAATTGCGTACGAACCGTACGAAAACGAAACTGGAATGACAGATGAAAGTAAGTAGTGATTCATTGAACGCATGCGCGAAATTTTAAATATCAAGGAATAGTTAGTTGTTGCTGCGAGGTAAAAGTTCAATGTGCATTCCGGCAATTTGATGATTAGGCCATACATTGTTTATGTGGAGAGGGTATTATTAAATTTATAACTAAAAGAAACTTAATATAGTATCACTAGTAATACCTAGATGGCGCTACGCATGCCTCAAGAAAAATTTTGTGTCGACTAGTAGTCCTGCCCGCCTGATAGGCCGCCAGTCTTTCGTATTTAACAAAAGAGATTGCAGTATTCACAAAATACAGTTTTGTTTTATAATTAGAAAAAAATTGTTTCATAATTTTAACCAGTAACAAATAAAAAAACTATTCCTATGCGTCGTGGCTTCTTAATAAAGTAGACATACAAACGTGCAGAAGCAGTTCAAGTAGTTCAAACATTTATTGTCGGTCAATATTGTCATTCAGTGATGACACTTTTATGAAACATGTTTATTGCAGTCAATTCGTGCAGCAATAAACAGAAAAATGCGTCGCATCGTAGGTTATCTTTGACTCCTAACCAGAACGTTTTTGGTAGCATATCTAATGCAATTTGCACCAGAGTAACTTCCTCGATCCGCCGTGCCACGGCTTCTCTTTGCTGAGTCAATTTCTATACGTCTGAACAAAATTTACAAGTGCAGTAGCAAATTGTCGGATGACACAATATACTCTAGGCAAGGTTCGAAAAATTCTATGCATTTTTTGCTGTTGTTTGTTGTTTACGTGTTTATTGAACCTTCCTCACAGCGTGTACGTTTGTGTTTGGTAGATGCCGACATGCCGATTTGCTACAGAAGCTATTGCAGTTGTTAAATATTTGAGTTCATGCTTTAATCTGCCGAAGAACAACAAACAGGAGGCGACAGTCTGAAGTTGTAAAATATTTTGCGTTTTTAATCAGAATTTTAACATTTTTGGCACAATTTTTAATAGAAAGACCAGATTTAACAAAATATTGAGTTACTTATTGAAGATTAATATACTGATTTATTCAATTCTCAGGATTATTGGGTATTTGTATTATTTAATTAGTGAGTTTACCTTTTTTTGCATGTTTATAAGATTTTTTTACATCCACGTAGCTAATGAATGAGTAAAAATCAAAAACAATTTTTTTATAAATTCGTTTTCTCGAGCATTTTTAAAAACCGCAACAAAATAAACTTCCGTTACTATTTGTTACCATATTCTCCCATCACAGTTTTATGTTTTTATTCTCTGCCACATTCAATACGTCACTGATTCGGCATCATCATACGAAGCACAAATTCCGCTTAGATGCATAAACGAAATTCGTTATGCTCAAAAATGGCCGAAATGATTTTCGTGATGAAAAGTCTAGTTCCGAAAAACGTCTGCACATTTTATATATTTATGGGGCACTTTCGTTTTATTGGCAGTCGTAATGCAGACCGATGAGCGCCCGATACGGCTACCGAATGGTCAGCGCCGATTGTTGATTGCCCCCTTATTTCATCGACGTGTCACTGCAATGACACTGCACACTGTGGAAATATACGCAGAAAAGAGAGCAACTACACTATAAACGCTTCAATTTCGAATTAACTTCGACTCATTTTATTGCTTTATTTCGCTCGTCAAGCAAAGTTACACGCAGCTACCGTAAACTATTTGACTTCTGCGGGTTAACTTTTGCTGTTCGCGTTTGCATTTTGCTATAAATATTAACATAAAGTCTCAGATATTATTGCAATCATTATTTGCAAATGTTGAAATATTTGCGCTTAGAAATTACTTCATATCTAGTTTTGCAGTTTGAGCACGTTAAATTTTGTTCACTTGCTAATACGTTAAAATTCCGTAAGACAGACGAGTCTGAAAATATAAATACCTAAGTATGTTTAATTTCAATTACGTGTTGCGATTATTTTTATGCGCAAGTGCAAATTTTACAGTTTTGCAAGCAAGGGCTGTAAAAATAATAAATTTTATTACAACAATTCTTTAAATATTAAGTAATTTATTACATTTTACTAAAATTGCGATTTAAGTATTAATAAATTAGTTTGTTTCCATACAATAATTAAACATTTCACAGAATTACAAACTTTCATCACATTTTGAGTATCATTTACCTACCGGCCCACAGATTTACACATTTGTAATCCTGGTGGATTAAGTACGAAGCAATAGTTAATACGCTGTAAAGTTTGTACACATAATTTGTAAACTTGTACTTACTTGCTTAAATGTGCCGCCATGATTTTCGTGGGCGGCGCACGACAGATTCGCATCGACTTATCGTTCAATTAGACGCGTCTTCAAAGCGATCCAAAGAGGATTACTTATAATAAGAGTCAAACATTTACCTACATTTTCCTACATTTCAACTCTGAATTTTCACCGCCTGTAGTGTATTATTCAGTAGCATTCGATAGTAACAGCAATTTGTAAGGAACTATTGAGGAATAGGTATGGTAATTTGGTAATGGGTTAAAATTCCCGATAAAAACAGGCTTGTAATCGCATTTGAGTTGATTGTACACGTCGACAAAGTCGGCAAAATAGAGGCGCGACTTACAACTTGGGGAGTTTTCAACGAAATTGTGATACCTATTCGTTTGCGTTTGCCTACGCCGCCAACAATATTGCCTACTTTTGTCATCATTGTGATTTAATCATATTAAAGCAATAATGGAGTGAATAAACGAATCTCTGTGTAAAATTTTCAATTTTTGGCTTAACATTTATAGATAATTTTAGTTGATTGATAAGTAGGTACTTTTGAACAAATCAAAAAGTAGATTAAGTAGATTTCTTCTAGAAATCACACTTTTGCTTGGATTTTATAAAAATTATTTTTTTGGTTTTATATTGTTATCTGAGCTATTATCGATCAACTTTTATAGATTGATTATCTAATCCATTTTATTTTCCTTATTTAACACTCTTTTGTTTATGATTTTTGATATTTTAATAGTTATGCGGCTATTTAGGGTAGAGCCAAGTCTAATAAATCATAGATAACAAAATAAATTAGCCCAGTTGTTCTTGAATTATAATTGCTGTAACTAACGAGCATTCTTTTTTATATAGGTATCCTGGTAGGTACCCACTTATTATAAATTAGTCTATAATAATCATCAGTTCAAAATGCGTTATTAGCGAAATATATCCTTCCAAAAAACTCAGTATCACAACCCACCCAATCCGATATTATGGAAAATTTAACTTAACTTAACTTTATTGCTAATTCAAAATGGAAACTTCTTTCTAACGTTAGTTTTTGCTGCAAAAACTTAACCTAACTGTTGAAATCGTGTGTATGATAAATTTAACGTTATATTTTACTACCCTTAACAGTAGTTATGTTTTGTGACTTAATAAACTTTCTCCTCCCAATTCCGTTCTCTTCAATCTCTTCAAGTGACTTCAGAAACTGGTTTCTGCTGAAATATCTACTAAGCATCACTAAGTGCTGAAAATTGAATAGATGATGGTCGAGAATGCGCACGTAGCCTTGACACTATTTTTTCTCTCAATAGCACATCGTCAACGCTTCCATTTAGGAAAAATTGGGTCTTTTGGTGACATTATCTCCATTATGTCCAACATTATTGTGCCACATTATATTGGAAAAGAATAGATCTCCTACTGGTTTTCGCTTGCGCGTGCCATAATATTGTTAACAACCAGCAAACACTGCTTTACGATATGATGGGGCATAATAGGGTAAAAAGGAAAAGTAAACTAAAGCATAGTGCACAGAGTAGTAAAAGTTAAATTGTGTCCCAATTTTTCTTTTCATGATGGGAGATGAAAGGAAGTGAGTGATTTATTGCATTTGGATGTCACAATATTTGACAGCGTTTAGTAGAACAACTTTTTTTTACAGCTGAGATGAATATTATATTAGTTAATAAGTTGTTAATTTGAGAAAATAATACTCTATCTTAGATTATTTTCTTTCCCATTCATATTTTTCATATTTTTTTGATATTTAAGTCGATAAATACCTACGTATGACACTTTTGATAGTATAGAAATTTATTGATACCTACTGCTTAGTTAATTTCCAGGTAGATTTTTATAGAAATTCTAATTCAATCATACACAGACATAAGTTGGTAGGTATATCAATGTTTCATTCAGGAACTAGCGCTTTATTATTAAATTTAAATTAAAATAATTTTTATGCAAATTTAGTTTTGAAAATGTAAAATGTAGGAGACATTAAGTTTTTGCAACTATAATGAGGAAAAGAGAAATCAATTTCATTTAATCGACATAAAGTGGGATTAAAAGCACCTCAAATACAAGTAGGTATAAAAGGCAGGACCTCACTGTTAATAAATATTTTTTGGATAGCGCTAATGTCGAATCGAAAGTATAATGTTTTCAAATATTTAGGTACAATTGAAAAAAAATAGAAATATACATATTTTCATCGTTTTAATTTTCTGTCCCCGGAACCGACTGTAATATTTGACATGTTTCTCAATTATAGTACCTACCCATACCTATCAAAAGTCACGCTTTAACACGTTTTCTCAATATTTATACACTAAACCCTAAACAAGTAGAAACAATCGACGCCTGCCAATACAGCCTCTTTCAATATTTGCCATTTATCTGTAACAAGCTGAACTTGAACGAAACACTGAAAAAGCATCGTATCTTATTTTGGAATACCCGTCGCGCGTTGACAATTGTCCACAATGCTAACAAACCACGAAGAGCAAGCAAAATGGCTTGTCGTCGCCAATGCTATACGAAACATGCTAAAGAAACGTCTCCAGTTGAATTTTTCCTTTGCTTTCGACACGCCTCGCCCATTTTCAAAACATGTAGGTAAAGAAGTGAGCTATGAAAAGGTAAAACAAGATGGTAGTGTTCGTGTTGGTGTTGTAGATACAAAGACGCTTCAAAAGGAAGGCGGAATTATTCTGTATTAATGTGACAAGCTACTGTCAGCACATTGGTCACACAGAGTCGATTTTTGGATGGAGAATTGGTGTTCGTGTTCTGTTTACACTGT